GCGTCAGCGCACGCATTCTCACAACATTCACAAAATGTCTAAAAATAGTATCGGCTGATTCAGCCTCGCTGACTGGTGTCGGAATAAGATTTATTTTCTTAAGAACAATGATAAATATGATATAAAATTTGTTTTCTTATCAAGACATAGACCAGAAGCTGCTGAAAACCACAAGCTCCAACCGATTTTGATCCATGCATATTGTAAATAGAGGGCATTATATGAGTGCCCATGTCATACTATCATACTATGTTAACGACACGAGTGCCTAAATAGAGAATACTACACGAGGTCTCATTACATACGAATTATACGAAACGAGTGTCCTTCCTATGGTATCTGAAACCATAGGAAGGTCACGGGTTTCGTATAATTCGTATGTAATGAGACCGAGTGTGGTATTTTATTTATTACCCACGTCTTACATGCATTAAATTGACAAAATAGCGTATTTTTGTTATGTTTTTGGTTTCAAACCGAAACCGGTTTCATAAAGAGGTTGCGGAAGAGTTTGTAGTGTTGTAACATATTTGCATGACGTCACGCTCTAATGACGTCACTGCCTTGGTAACCGACGTCACGATTCATGTCAGTTGTCATCGCCTCGTACAGCCTCCTACAGTAAACTGATCCGTAGCACCTCGTTTCTGGGTTTCCAGTTGCTTCATTCGGCTAACATCACTGGTGAAAACATTGCTTTAATGTTTTTCGACGGATATAATGTCTCAGTTCGACTCACAATTAAACAGCGACACGGCAACGTTCGCAATGTTCACATGCCCACAATGCATGTAAGTTGTAGAATGAATAAAGTCACGTGTTTGTTATGAATGAGAAAATAGTTACGTCAGAATGTGACCTAATTGAGAGGTCAAGTCGTTACGACACAGGTCAACGCGATACGACACTCGTGTGACGTACGAGATTAGTATGCAACTACCCATACGTTGACCTCGTGGGTAATACATGTTGGTATTTCCCGAGCTAGTGGGAGGGATATACCGATATTTAGGCACTAGTGTCGTAAGCATAGTATGGTATGGGCACGAATATAATATTCTGTTTATTACCCAAGTCGTCACATTAAGGTACATAAAACCAAATCTACTTTCAAAAACAGGCTGGCTACCCGCCGTCGCCGCATGGAGAACGCAACGTCACAGAAGAAACGTGACGTCATAGCATTGTTCATGACGTCACGTCACCATGACAAAGTGATATTTTGCCCTAGGGCATCGTATGGAAAAAAATGAACCCGATATGTTCGCCCTCGTAGGTAATAATAGAGATATTAACAACAGTTAGTTGGAGGTGAGGTGAAATTGGATTTAAAGTCGTGCTTGAGAATATTTCGCTCATATGACGACGTGCATGCGTGTGTATGTATATGTGCGGCTACTTGTACTAGCCCAGACTTAAGTTGGTTTTATAGTGCTAGCCCACTGAGATACCACGCCGCAGTGAAGCATGAATACCCCACTCAGACACATTATACTGACTCCGAGCCGACCAGTCCTTGTTGTACCCATTAATGCCGAGCGCCAGGCAGGGACCAACAAGTACCATATTTTAACGTCTTTTTGGTATGACGCAGTCGGGGATCGAGCCCGCGACCTTCCGTTCTCCGGGCGGACGCTCTAACCACTTCACCACGGAGGCGGTTAACAGTAAGTTGGAACTTACGTGGGCACAGCTTTTGGGACTAAAAATGGGGATGGCTTGGTTTTGTTATATATAATGCTATATGACTAGTATGTCTTATAAAAAGTAACTGCTCACCCTTATATGTTATTGAGTGAGTATGGTTTTACGCCGCGTTTAGTAATATTCCAGCAATACCACGGCGGTGGACACCAGAAATTGGCTTAACACATTGCACCCATGTGGGGAATCAAACCCGGGTTTCCGTTGTGGCGAGCGAATGCTTTTACCACTAGGCTACCCCACCGCTCCCTTGATTTGGCACATTCTCGGTGTGTGAGAGGACAGCTTGGCGTTTTCTTCCATGTGTTGTACACATGTATGCGATAGCGTACTCCAATCAAACGCATACATAACATCTGGGGCGTGGTACTTGAAGGTGAAACATTCAAGTGTGTTGGGTTTCACGCCGCCTTCACCAACATTCAAGCAATGTCATGGCAGGGGAAACCATAAATGGGCGCCCCTCTAACATTAAAGAGTCGTTTGCGAGAACGCACACACGCACGCAGCAAACTACTTTAGAACTCGCAGATGCCCTTTTTATGCTGTTTTGGGTAAAAGTTTCTTTCGATTTGCCTTTATTTCGGTATAGGAAAATAGTTCCTCCTCAGAATTTAAATTTGGACTTTAAGAATGCTTAAAGTGATTACAGTAAGGACGATACGGGCATGATTAATATATTCTTTTGTATTGTACTCATAAACGTTCCAATATACTAGTAATCTGTGCACAGCCTTTCATGCCTAAACATATACTGAACCACAAAAGAAACGTTGCTTTTCAAAACCGAACGCAAGATTTTGTTCTTACAAAATGGTGTTTATATTATGACTGTATCGTTTTGTTAAAATGTTTTTCAATCCAAATTGACAGACATTACCAATATTAGTGTGTTTTCTGATGAAAAAGCATATCGACCAGACGTGGGAAAAGGTTCCGTATGACATTCATGAAAATGAAAATGCACGTGCATATCGTGACAACCCTACCAATGAAAGCGAGTCCTAAACTCGCCTGAAATCATTTTTGTTTTGACACAATCGCCATGGCACAAGTTACGAGAGATCAGAGGAACCAAGTCTTGGGACGATTGCAAGTTGGCCAGACTGCACGAGGGTACCGCCAATCATTAATTTCATGTTAGGACCATCTACCGACTGCAGGAGTGGTATCGGGTCACTAATAGCATCCAAGACCGTCCACGCAGTGGGCGACCTTCAGTAACATCACAACGTCAAGACCGACAGATTGTGCGCCACCATCTGCAGGATCGCTGCCCCAGAGCGACGGAAACGGCACGCCAGACCATTAGGACTCACAACAGACCCATCAGTGCCGATACAGTGCGTCGACGTGTGTGCGGAAGAAACCTCTGCTGTCACAGACCATATTGTAGTCCTGTCCTCGCCGCTATCACTGCCAAAACCGACTGAAATGGGCAACTCGGCATCGCAATTAGCGTTATCGACAATGGAGAACTTTGCTCTTTTCTCATGAAAGCTGATATTGTGTTTCGACAGTCGATGGCAGAGTGAGAGTATGGCGAAGGCACTGTTTTCCAATTAGTGTATTGTTGAAAGAGACTCGTGGGGTGGTCCAAGCATCATGGTGTGGGGTGCAACCGGTCTGAACCAAATAGATGGCACCGTGGTGTTCCAGAATCTCGGTCCACGATGAGGAAGTGACTTGACAGCTGCTCGGTATGTTGATCAAGTCGTAAGACCCCACGTTGTACCACATTTTGGACGCTACAGAAGTCACATCTGCCAGCAAGACAACGCTCACGCCGACACTACCAGAGTAAAATTGTGCCTCCTAAGACAACATGGCATCCAAACCCTAAAAGAACCTGCACTCAGTCTTGATTTGGGTCCAGTAGAACACCTTTGGGACGAGATTCAAAGAAGACTGAATGACCTCCACCCAAGGCCGACAACTGCTGCTGGACTCGAACAGGCATTTCACAGAGTATGGACCCAAGTGCCTATGGCCTTCATCAACAAGCTAATTCATTCCATGTACAGACAATGCAACACTTTCATTGATGCACATAGTGGCCACCACACACAATACTGAATTTGGGGTATCTTAATGGTACCATTTTTGTGATTTTGTTTGTGTGAACTCTAAATGCGATTCCCCAAAATGTGTTATCCATAATTGTCAAGTTTGAACTCAATCCTCCGTTTTGATTGTTAATTAGAGTGAATTAAAGTGTGTGCTTTAAGAAACTGTTATCGGTGAGACATTTCTTTTGTAGTTCAGTATACATCATTGGCCATAGTTTATCTGAAACATTTGCAGATTATGCATAATTTCTTTTGAAATATTAATCATGGAAAATAAACCATATAAATGGACTTATGATTAGGAGTATCCAGAATCCTGAACACAAAATATATACTGAGGGAAACAAATAAGGGAACACCACTTCATGGCAGTGTTCCTTTATTTATTCTCAGACTTCCTCCCACAGTGCTATTCCAAGCTGGTGATGAAAACTGGAAAATATTAAAGGAACGCTTGAATTTTCCTGTGTTCCCTTATTTGTTTCTCTCAGTATATTTTGACTTTAACAATTACATCTCGATTTTATTCCAGCGAGTTGTTGCCAGACAACAAAACAGTTCCTCTTCATAAATCTGTGAATTTAAAGTATTTTTCCTTTTTCAAGACTATATCATTCATGAATACACAATGCTGTTTAGAAAATGAAGCAAAGTACATATTAATGTACTTTTGATGGGTTGAGTTCTGTCCAGGATTCAAAACAATACTTTTAGAGTCAGGCACATATTGTCTAGATCACATACTTTGTGTACCCTCCGACAAGTGTAAATTGGCATAGCTCCCAGTCTGAAAGCTATGAATACACAATGCCACCTGGAAAATGGTTAATTGTAACATGTTCTATGAGGGTTTACACTTTCTCAGTAAACTACAGGTTCTAGTAGAGGCAAGATTCAGTTCACTGATATATCAGTGGCGGATCCAAGGGGGGGGGGGGTTTCAAACCACCCCCCTGAAAATGACTTAAGACCACATTGCAAATTTTTTTATGCGTTATAGAGTCAGGGGTTCCCAAAAAAAAAAAAAAAAAAAAAAATAATAATAAATAAATAAATAAATAAATAAATAAATAGATAAAAATAAAAATAAAATAAAAAAATCAAAAAAATCCTGGATCCGCCCATGTTATATAATTGAAACAATGCATTAAACCATTAAATTGGTCTTGCCTGTCAGCCATGTGTGCTAAAAAGTGTCTCTTTAAAAATAAAAACTGCAAACACGCATTAAAACAACCCTTCAGTTTATTCTCATTGCATTGTGGGGATAGATCCACATTCGCCCAGTTAAAATATCAACATGTTATAAAAATACACTTATATGAAATCGAACACATTTGCAGACTGACACGTTACGAGAAGGAACACATGCATTCACAGAATCACAGCCATCATCTCCTTTCACAGAGATTATCACACAATTCTAGTCTAATACTTTACTGATAAAACATTCCATTCACTCAAAAGAATAAGTCACCTTAAAAAGTGAGTTCATGTAGAGTTGAATCTTAGATTAAATGAACGTCCTTAAAATTAATCTGCCATTTCTTAGTCAGTGAACATACAATGTGCATATTATCACAGGCACTGTTGGTGACAAGACACATAAACCAAATCCGTAACAGAAAAACATAATATTTCAGTTTTCTGTTATGTAAGTTCTAGCAATGTTGTCATAGAAACCAAAATGACAAGGAACCGTTTCCAAGAGGTGAATCAGTTCTTGTAGTTAATAAATATACCGTGGCCTTATAGTTTTCAGGTCAGAAATACTAGTATCTCAAACATGTTAAAATATTCTGAATGTGGATGAAATAAAAGCATGGAATGTATTGATATTTAATTGAACAGAGCAATGATAAACCATTATATCTAATATAAGTGAAAGTTTGATAAAACATGGGCACTAAAATAAGTAATGTTTCAAAATCTTACTCTGATAAAATGGACGTCTACATAGCAGACATATGTGCACAGACCATCAGTCAATATTTGTAGTCATCATCAAATATATTGAACATCATGACACGATATGCAAAATGACCATAATTATTCTAACTACGAATACGGCAGCTATCATGCCCCAAAATCTATTCGTGTCCTACCAAGTTGAACATATTGCAACAGCATCATCTATCACTATATTTCTGTTAGGACTAGACGTAAAATGCAGTTCCACTATAATACAATGTATTTCTCTAATGATAAAGTGCTTTCAAATGACTCATTGTTCCACACATACTGGAAATGTCAAGTTTTGAGCAACAGGTGATGTTCTGTAAACGATGCTCATTGATAGTGAAGTGATGCAGTGAGTCTGTGAAATGGTCGCTGCAGGTCCAGGAGGTGGGTTCATGAGGATGATGGTATCACAGGCGAGAAACTCGCTTCTCGAGGGACTTCAGTTCTTCCATTATTGCAGGAGGCAGGTCTCCGTTTACCTGCTCGTCAAAATACTTGTAGATGGCGTTGACCTCCTTCTGCCAAAATTCAGCAGGTAGGCGGAACAATTCCTGAAGATCTACAGGCTTTTCAAGACCACTGAGGTTTAAAGAGTCCGATTTGGGAATGTAACCAATGGCGGATTCATTTGCAATGTCCTCTCCGTCCACACGACGGAAGATCCAGTCCAACACACGGGCATTCTCGCCAAAACCTGGCCACAGGAATTGTCCGTTGTTGCCCTTGCGGAACCAGTTAACATGAAAGATCTTGGGTAGTGCTCCCTGGCGCTCCTGGAAACTCAGCCAATGTTTCAGATAATCCCCAAAGTTGTACCCGAAGAATGGACGCATGGCAAAGGGATCGTGCATAATTTGTTTGGCTGCAAAATAAAACAAATGAATTAGGATTTTGAAATAGTCCTGACATGCAATTTTGGAAATTTTATCATGAAACTGTTGCAAGGACATAAAAATACCCTAAAAAAACAATAACGTTGCTTGAACAGTATTTCTGTCACGTCAGCTTAATACGGGATGAAAAGCTTGAAGTGATGCAGGATTGATTCTACAGTGGCCCGCTAGGAAAAGTGAGTGAGTTTCACTTTATGCCACTTTTAACAATATTCCAGCAATATCACGGCTTGGGACACCAGAAATGGGCTTCACACATTGTACCCATGTAGGGAATCGAACCCAGTCTTCTTAATGACAAGTGAACGCTTGAACCACTATAGGCTACAACTGCCTCTTGCTATGAAGATCTGTTCGTCATCAGGGTACAAAGTCACCTTCAGGGTGATGACACTGCATGGATGAAGCTTGTGACCATGTCGGTGCTGATACAAGTGGTTTATGCAATCAGTGGACATATGATTAGACGTTTTGCCTTCTGGTTCAAGCTGATTGTGGTACCTTATACAACTGATCGAAACACCTTATTAACTCGCTTACATTTGTGTTCTGCGGCGGCTGTGGATTCAGATCTCATGGCAGCACCAAGGAAGACACCATGTTGCCAGTTGAAAGACTCATAGACCAGCGGAACTCCTGTAGACAAAAGAAAATGTTGAACATAATGAAAGATTATCACTTTTGAGTGAACAGACCTACTGACTGAAAAGCAAATACTGTGAAACAAGAATATCACTATTATCATGGTTCATCACATAAGTATATACCGCCGTGATATTGCTGGAATATTGCTAAAAGCGGCGTAAAACTAAACTCAGTCAGACATAAGTTTATAATTATGTTTATTTGTTGTTCTCAGCAATATTCGAGCTATATGACAATGCCAGGTAATAATCGAGCCTGGACCTGACAATCCAGTGATCGAGAGCATGAGCGTCTGATCTACGCAAATGGAGTATAATGACATGTGTCAACCAAGTCAGCGAGCCTGACCACCCGATCCAGTTAGTTGCCTATTACAAGCACGGGTTGCTGAAGACCAATATTCCCTGATCTTCATGGGTTTTATCATTAGAAATGTTAATATTTATGATTATAGGATCTGATAATCAACCACAAAGGTTCTTACCTTCTGGTCTCCTGCCCCCGAAGATGATGGCCTCTATGGGCACACCCTCAGGGCTCTCCCAGGCAGGGTCCATGATCGGGCACTGTGAGGCGGGGGCACAGAACCTGCAATATGCAAATCATACAGGTCAATAAACAAGGTCAAGGTCAGTGCACTCAGCTATATGATGGTAGCATGTATATAATTGAGTCCAGAGATTGATATTACAAGCATGATGTCATCAACCAAACCATGCAGTATGTCCTGAGATTTTATGCTTCTAAAGTATAGGTTTTTGTGGGCCCTTTTTAAATTGGAATCTGCTGAAGGTCAAGGCCAGGAAAGAGAGACACAGGTGTCAGACAAGGGTCACTAGATTCTCTTAAGCCACAGTCAGTAACATTCACACTATCACAGTGACCTTTAAATTATCGGACAACGGACGAGTCTGACTACCTGTGACCGCTACAAGAAATCCCCTAACACATGCCAAAGTTGGGGTCAAGACTAACCTAGAATCCCCTTGGAATGAGAGTCAGGGTCAACAGTCTACTGGACAGTCTGAGGAGGAATGCAGTAACATCTTTACCTGGAGTTGGGGTGAGCTGCTGGCTTGCCGCTATCCTCCTTCTTCCAGTCTTTGTCTCCCAGCCACGACTCTACTTTGATATCATCAGTCATCTCATCCTCCAAGCCTTCCCAGAAGAACCCTCCATCACGTGTCTCCGCCACGTTAGTGAATACTGTGTTGGACTTGATTGTCTTCATGGCATTTGGATTGGTTTTCATGGAGGTACCTGATGAGGGAGAAACATATTAGATACATGGATAAACAGCCAAGAAAGTGCATTTCCAAAAAAACTGTCAAAATTTCGGTGCAGAATTCTTTTACACATCAAGCAAATGCACAGATGCACTTATATGAATGGTTATTTCATATTTACCTTTACGCAGAATTAGACATTAAAAAACAATCTTTCGTATTACTCTGAAACTGCAAATCATTTTTATCAAAAAGTGACAAAGATGCCCACCTGGTGCAACCCCGAAGAATCCAGCTTCCGGGTTAATGGCTCTGAGCTTGCCATTGTTGTCGAACTTCATCCATGCGATGTCGTCCCCAACACAGGTGACCTTGTAGCCAGGCAACGAAGGGGTCATCATGGCAAGGTTGGTCTTGCCGCAAGCGCTGGGGAATGCAGCCGCCATGTACTTCTTCTCCCCCCTTCTCGTTCTCAATGCCCAGGATCTGACCAAACAAACACCTACAGTCAGCAAGGTAAACACACTGGGGGTTAAAATGGAATGTCCTCAAATTGTTTGGTAATGTCGTCAGTCAGTGGGTGGGTGTGTCTGGCTTATCAATGCTCTCAACAGTATTTCAGTTACATCACATGTCAAGCCTTGTGTGTGAGGATTGCCATGTCTGAAAAACGCCCAACTTTCTGGCAAGACCCATGTTGTTGGCAAACTAAGAAACTAAAAAACAGAAGCTACAGTAAACGATGTTTATAACGAACCAGCTTAAAACAAAGGGACGGATATAATTGGGTTTTTTCCCAAAACCATTTCCTCCATATCTGATTCAAAATGCATATAATGAACTACGGTTTGAATCAATTAAAGTTTGGGCCCTTTTGTGTTTGTTTAAACTGCAGTATTTTAGGGCTGAGGTTCAGATTTCTCACAAACCGAACAGATACATTTGAGGTCACACAACTCTGTGAGTGTTGTGATTGAGTGAGTGAGAAGTGAGTGTGTGAGTGAGTGAGTGAGTGAGTGAGTGAGTGAGTGAGTGAGTGAGTGAGTGAGTGAGTGAGTGAGTGAGTGAGTGTGTGTGAGGAAGATAAAGAAATGCACATTGGGTGGAATATTGACACTGTTCTATTTTCGTCTAATCATTTTGTAAGTAAAATTGGAAATGTCACATTATAAGAGTGGTGGTAGTGGTAGGGTTGGAGTCATGAAAAGATGCTATATATATTTGGTTTGGCCATGAAGAAAGAATACAACAAATGGGGATTGTCCACAGGATAGACGAAAGTCGCTGACCCACCCCTGTACAATCACTGACCAGCCTGTAACACAAGGACATCCACCTACCAGCATGTGTTCTGCAAGCCAGCCCTCTCTCTTGGCCAGAATGGAACCAAGACGCAGAGCAAAGCATTTCTTGCCAAGGAGTGAGTTTCCTCCATACCCACTGCCGAACGACGCGATCTCATTCCTTTCTGGGATGTGGGCCACCAAGGTCCTTTTGGGGTCACATGGCCAGTTGTTTTGGAGAGGTTCTGCAAAGATAAGTTAAGGAATAAAATATTTGACACATATCTAAAGTAAGAAGTATCTTAGCTTTGGATTTGTGTGCCATTGTACACAACGATCTTTAGCGCTAATGTGATTGTGACTCCCATACCGTAACATTGACTTAGGACAGTGTAGCAAAAGGGTTGAATTGTACAATAGCATCACGTTCATTTGTGAAAGTAAGAAAAATTTGTAAAAAGGAACTTGTAAAAGAACATTTTTCATCAATAGTCATTTGATCGGTTCACAAAAATAAAACTTGAATAGAAGACAAGCTGTCAAGTTGAATGTAAAATGTGAAATATCCCTTCGCAAATTGATATCGTCTTTCTCCCAAGGAAAACTCCTTGGATTGATTGCTGCATTTGGTGATTTGGATAAACCTTATTCTGTAGTGTTCTTTCTAGATTCTTTCTGTTTCCAATAAATAGTAAAGTTTTAATGTAAGCTGTGTTTATTAATGTTTCAGATAATATTTCTAGCATTAAACTATCTTAACAGGTACTTACTTGTCAAGGGCAGAGGTCGTCCCACGGAGTGTAGACACTTGACAAAGTCTTCATCATTCAGGGCACTGAGTACTTTGGAACCCATTCTGGTCATGATTCTCATGCTGGCTACCACGTAGCTGAGTCAGTCAGCTGGACGCCGATCTTGGACATTGGGGAACCGATGGGACCCATGCTGAACGGAATCACATACATGGTGCGCCCTGGGAACAACAGTAACACAGTACAGTGAGAGAGTAAGTACGGTTTGGTGCCGCTTTTGCCAATATTCCAACATTATCATAAATTACGCTAGAAATGGGTTTCAAGCATTGTACCAATGTGGGGAATCAAACCCTGGTCTTCAGCTTGATGAGAGAACTCTTTTACCACTATGCTACCCAACCACCCCCAATATATTAGAATCATCGACTGTCTTATAACAACATTAACAATGACCAAACAGTTCTGAATATACACTTTTCAAATAAAGTTGAAGCGTTCTTTAACTTCTTTTCATTAGGATTCATCAGGTTACCTCGTCCATATAATTTTATAAACATTCCTCCATATCAAATTCCAACAGAAGAATACTGAGCGACCATAGTAACTTTGATTGGCAAAGAAGAAATATCAATATATTCAGATATTCCCAAAAGATTAAAGGTACTCTTCAATAATTCATCAGACTTGTCCACGATGAATGTGCAAAGTGCTGACTTAGAAGAAATGTTGACTGGTGAGAACCGGGGATTAGAACCCATAAGGATAAGTTTCTGTCTTGTCCAAGGGAAGCAACTCTGCATAGAACTGCTGCATCATACACCATCAAGCCTCTTATTCTAGCACATCAGGCGCAAGATCTAAAAGATCGGGTCTTATGTCGCTTTTTAGCTATATTCCAGCAATATCACGGTGGTTGACACCAGAAATGGGCTTCACACATTGTTCCCATGCTGGGAATATTGGCATGATGAGCGAATCTTTTAACCACTAGGCTACCCCACTGCAATTATACCCAAGGCCAAGTTATATTTTGGCAGGTTCTATCATTCACCTACCTTTCATGCAGTCAGGGAACCTCATGTTGAGCTCATTGTCCATGTCCTCCGGCGCCATCCAGTTCCCCAGCTGGCTCTTGGCACCATACTTGGTACTTGGCACCGTATCCCGTTGTTCATCCGTAGATATGTAGGTCAACTTCTCAACTCTAGCGACATCTGCTGGATCCGTCCTTGCCAACCAACTGTAACCAACGTAATTCCTGTTACTACCTGACAGTGTTTGTATGTCTGGTTGAGCCTGGTCAGTGCTACTATGAAAGTACTTCGGTTATACGATGGTGCAACATAAATGTGTGTTTGTTGCTTAATGTTGCACTCAGCAGTATTCCAGCTATATGGCGGCGGTCTGTATATAATCAAGTCTGGAACAGACAATCCAGTGATCAACAGCATGAGCAATGATCTATGCAACTGGAACATGATGACATGTGTCATCCAAGACAGTGAGTCTGGCCACCAGATCTGGTTAGTTGCCTTTTACGACAAACAGGGGTTGCTGAAGACAAACTCTAACCCTGATCATCACAAATGCGTGCCATATTGACGAGGGTGGAAAGCCTAAAGTGAAGCCGTCGGAGACGTTTACTTCTTTGGTGAAACCGAAAAGCATTGGATTGATGTTGACAAACCCAGAAACAGAAACAGAAAGAACCATGGCGCCGTTAACCCCTTTTGGTACAGGAAATGCAGATGATTGTAAAAAAAATAATTTAGAGGATGAGTTCAGGAGCTTATGTATCAGTGCACTGAAAAAAATGACCTTCCCTAATGCATGTCATATTTTGGGATGACCCTTCAGGTTCTTTGATACATTTTTCACGACCATACCAGACAATGTTGATAGGAAAAATGCAAAAATACTTTATATTCTATTATAAATTGTTCATTTTTCCATGAGCCCAATCTCAAAAGTGTCTACTAGTTTATATAACCTTCCCCATGAAACTGATATTTTAGGGTGATCCTGTCCTGATTTTTCCTGACAACCCATCACATTCTCACTGACTCAAGAATGTGTGCAGAGCTAATCAATATGCGACCTACCAGTTGTCATATTTCGGTAGGCTTTTGAGGATGCCATCTTTCTGCAGCATGTAAGTAAGAAGCTCACTCTCCCGATCGGAACCATCACAGATGTGCAGAGTGTCGGGCTGGCAGAGTCGGGCGTTCTCCTCGACGTAGTTGCGGACTCGGTTGGGGAGGTGTTCCAGATCGCCATAGATCACCTGGAAGCTGCGCCGGGGGGCATCAAATATGGCCCTGTTCTTGATGGAGGGCGACTTCCTCAGTGCACATGAACTGAATCTGTTGAAAGTGAGCGAGAGTTAGTATTCTGGCGTATGACAAACATGCATTAAGTACATTAAGTGCTTTATCCATTTACAAACATTCTGAAGTCAAAATTTGAGAAAAAAAGCTAAACAGCATGAGTATCAATGTACATAATTGGGTTACAATGACATGTGTCAACCAAGTCAGCAAGTCGGACCACCTGATCCTGTTAGTCGCCTCTTACGACAAACATGGGTTACTGAAGATCATTTTTAACCCAGATCTCCATGGGTCCCACATTCTCTTCCCACAGAGGTTACTCCTGTCATATCTTCCGACGTAACCTCTGTTCTAATACGGCCATATTTCCAGGTTCTCGTAAAATCCCCTAGCGGCAAAAGATCGCAACACGAATTATCTCCCTTCTTTCCATCCAATCAGAACACCTGTTACATCGACTTAGATTCAACTTGACTAACACAAGCAAATGTGGGGCCACAAATATCCCCCATCTGCCGGGGACTTGGGTTGATGTTACACACGAGACGTTTAATGGCTAGCTTGTCCGTTGTCAACGAGGGCGATGGAGACGCCACTGATCCGTCATAACATGACTGAGTTCTGTCTAGATGAAATGTTTGCGCATCGCGCAGGGGAAGAAGTTTAGTTTTCTCGAAGCATACGGAAATTACCGAGGCCTTGCGAATGATCACTTTTGAAACAACGTCGCTGATTGCACAACTAAATCTGATTGTCTCCAATCACGAGTCTTGAACGCTCACACCATGAAAGGACCGTATTAGAACAGAGGTTACGTAGGAAGATATGACAGGAGTAACCTCTGTGGGAAGAGAATGTGGGTCCCATGACACATTCCCAGAAGGAATATTCTGCAAATTACTCAACACACGGGCCACCCAAGAACCCTCACTCTCCAAAACTTGACTGAAAACACATCTGTTTAGCCAAGCCTATTGTATGTATGTTTGTGTGTGTGTGTGCGTGTGTGTGCGTGCGTGTGTGTGTGTGCTCTGTCTGTCTGTCTGTCTGTCTGTCTGTCTGTATGTCATGTATGTATGTTTGATGAACCACAGTTCACTTATTTTGGACCATCGGATCCTGATACTGACCACTTGCCCTTTTCTAAACCAGAAATCAACTGGACGTTTACATATCCAGTCTGCGAAATGAGTCCATCAACACCTACCGGGTAAGTGTCACTTGCCGATCTATTTCAGGTGATGGTTGCCATGACAACCATCAGACAACAGTCAATCGTGTTTAGCATGTTTGAAATAATCCTATGACAACAGTTCTGAATGAGATGGTACTAATTGAAGCATAAACAGCCTCTACATGCAATTTACAATACTTTGTGATCAGGTAATTGACAATGATGGCTGGCAATTTCCTATGAACATCCTATTATCTTTATATACACTTCGCACAAACAAAAAATCCATTGACGTGCTTCGAACCAAATTATAACATCATCACATGAATGATATTACATAAAATCTTCAAAGCATGAACATGAATATTATTCCTTCAGTACAAAAATGTAAAAGAAATTAAACACAAACACTCAAGCAGTAACACTTTCATTAAGCATGTTGAGGTTATTCTTCAAACTGCTGTGAATACTACTCAAAGAACATCTGATTTGCCTATTTGACTATGGGTAACTCGTTGATATTTCACTACCAATCAACACGACTTGATAAACTTATAAATATCCAAGGCTTGCCAAGGATACTTTTACTTTTATGAATGAGCGTTGATATATTTGATATCAGAAAACACAAGGGTGAGGTTCTATTTATCATAAAAAATCACTCTTTATTAGTTTTCAATGAAAAATGTACATCTCTGAGCACGGTACCACCATTAGACTTACAGCGATGTCATATAATTGTGACATCATAGCATTGTGAGTCATGTAACTGATGATGTCAGGGTATTGTAAAAAATCTACTGTCAAAACGGTATATCCTCAGAGATATCATTTGATCTCACACAAGCAGTATTTCCAGTGAAACACAATTTTGGATAATAAATTGCAATTCCCATACCCGTCTTTTGATATGTATTGCGATATACCGGGTACTTCAGTGTTTGACAGTGAGTGACATTGATTATATATACAGAGCCTACTTTATACATACTAAAGCCCAAAAATATGTGTCATGGTTGTGATTCAGAAAACTTATTTATATTTATATTTGATATAATGTATGCATAGTTTGCTGTTTTGTCAGTAAACTACAATGGAAAACTTAGCTGTGAGTGAAAGTCTCTACATTTTAACTTAAACAATAGAGATAATCACAAAACATTTATACAGCCTCCGTGGTGTAGTGGTTAGAGCGTCCGCCCGGAGAGTGGAAGGTCGCGGGTTCGACTCCCGACCGCGTCATACCAAAAGACGTTAAATATGGTACTTGTTGGTCCCTGCCTGGCGCTCTGCATTAATGGGTACAACAAGGACTGGTCGGCTCGGAGTCAGTATAATGTGTCTGAGTGGGGTATTCATGCTTCACTGCGGCATGGTATCTCAGTGGGCTAGCACTATAAAACCAGCTTAAGTCTGGGCTAATACAAGCAGCCGCACATACACACGCATGCACGTCGTCATATGAGCGAAATATTCTCAAGCACGACGTAAAACCCAATTTCACCTCACCCCACAAAACATTTATTTTTAATACCCAATATACCAGTTCTGAGAAAAAAACCATTCCATTATGAAGGCATATTGCAATATACTGGTATACAGTGCAACACTGGTTACTCCACTACCAATCCAACTGGTTACAATCTACAGCACTGAGAGTGTAATAAATGTAAAACACATTCAACACAAACACTGAGCTTAAAGTAAGCATTAACACTTTCATTAAGCATGTTGAGGTTAGTCTTGAAACTGTCGTGTATACTATTCAAAGTCAAAGAACACCTGAGTTTTCCTATTGGACTATGGATAACCTGTGGTTACTTCACTACCAATCAAACTGGTATGACATCTTAACCAGGTTATATTACATCAGCTAGGTACTATGTCAACACAACCCGGTGCTATCACAAGGCTCGACCACACTTGATCTACTTTTAGAATCAGCTGATTTCTCACGAGATATAGGTCACCACTAAGGAAAAATACCTGACTGGACTTTGATCGAAATAACTACATTGTTGAGCATGTCTTGTCAGCATCTAAAGTTCTTGATGACATTTCAGGTTTGCAACTCAAATGATTCAGACCTTTCTTTAAACTTAAGCCTATATTCAGATGCAGATGCAAGATAACGGGAGAGTGAGTGAGTCAGCTTAGTTTTATGCTACTTTTAGCAATCTTCCAGCAATATTAGATAGGGGACACCAGAAACGGGCTTCACACATTGTACCCATGTGGAGAATCGGACCCAGGTCTTTGGCGTGACAAGCAAATGCTTTAACCACTTGGCTATGCCACTGCCCTGAAAATGGGAGAGGGTTGAACAATGGAAGCGAATGAATGAAAATAACCTGTAGAGTTTCATGAAATTAATTCCACTTCAATATGAATATTTACGAAAAAATCTGCTATCAACCTCAACCATATACATCCTAGCATCCTTTACACATAAAAAATATGAGTGAACAGTCAATATTTTTTATTTGATAGCCAGCTGGTCTGCCATGTTGAAACATACTTGGAACCAGACCAATGAGGCAATTTTGGCATACAGATCAAACGTTTCTGTGAATGCCACAAATGTTAACATTTAATATTCTCAGGTACCTGGATAAAAGTAATAATAATAATACGATAGCAGAATGCAAGGGTATCTCAATGACTTTTTTGGTTTCTAGCACAGCTGAGTCTGGGCAGTAGCAAAAGGCTACTGGCCAAAAGCCTGTTAGTCTTGTCTAGTAGTGCGTATGGTTTTATGCGACTTTTGGCAATATTCCAGAAATGGGCTCCATACATTGTACCCATGTCATTAATCGGACATGTTTAAATTTTATGGAAAAACCCATCTATATTAGAACTTTCCCACTGGCGTGTATTCCCACCAGATAAACATGTGCTTGTATAGCTAGACTCAACATTGAGACCTGCTGAAAGATAAGGCACGAGTGGACGAATTATTTTTGTCTTGACTTCCTGAACTTTTGGCTTGCTCATGCTGTTAAATGAGAGATTTCTCCATTCAAATTGGAGCATTTTAGGTGGCAGAAAAAAACTTTTATGTAACATTACTTTTATGAAACCACAATAAATGAACTTGAAAGTTCATTAAAAAATTTATATTAAATCGTCTCGTTAATAAAAACTATAACATATTTTTTGCATGAAATATAGCTGAGGAACTTGAGGTTGTAGGGGCAATTTAACCTAATGTAACCTTGAAGTATTTTTTTTTTTGCAGCATTGCATATTGGTGCTCCAAATAATTGAAATACACACAAAATTGGCTTGGGTTACTTGTAAAATAAAATTCCATTGACGTACTTGACAGGTATAAAGATTTTCGTATATTTTATACAAATGTAGATGTTACCTCCTTGGCATATATTTAGGACAGAGTATTTCCCCCAAAGTGAGTTCTCTTCAGCTTGCGGGATTTCTATATTGGGGTTAGGTGGGACCTGTTTGCTTAAAGCATTGGTAAGCTTTACGTTTGTTTGAACGCCCTTGTAGAGAGCCCCCTGGAAACAGCTGTCATCTGTACATGTAATCAGGCCTGAGCTTGTTGAAAGATGCTGTTATCGCTTATTGCACAGGTCATGCGCTGTGACATTTTGCATTTGACTTCTTCCTCAATGTCATTAGATACACCCACCACACTGGAGGAAAATATATCAGATTATACATTTCAACATTTTCATCCTGTACTGATGAAAGTTATAGATGATACCAATGAAAAGGTTATAAATACTTTCTGTTTAACATGCAAAATGTCATAAATCTTCATTATCCTTTATAAAATCAAACCACTGTTTTTAAAAGATATATATTTTAACAATGACAATGTTTCATTAAATTACAGTGTACTTTAAGTAGAAAAACATTCCTGTTAAAAATAATTATCACATCCTATTTCACAATGGTATTTCTTTGAAGGTAAGACTGCTGATAGTTCCAGCCATTAAGAATTAATATTATTAAATTTTATTTTCATTAATTAAGAACATATATTAGCTATATATGGATTAAATCAGGGATGGTCATGTAACCACTGCCAAACCACCAAAGAAGTGGCAGAAACGATCGTATTTTTTCCGAATTAATGAAAACATACATTCAAATGAAGAATTACTGTTGCATAACATTTAAAGCAATGAACGAACTGGTAGTATCTATAACAACGATAGACTTCTTTGCAAATTGTAAAAAGCATTTGAGAGTTTACAGAGCATTACAGAGCATTTGAGAGTTTACAGAGCGTGTCCACAATGGATCTTAACCAATGAAATGCAGTTTCTTTGTGAGATGAATAGAGAAAAGTACAGTAGGCATCTTTGGCGTCATGCAATGATGCGTGACCACATTTTCAGAGGTACTTTTGTAATTTTTCGTTTTCACTATTTACACTCGTCACACAAACTAATTGATTTCATCCGAGCATTGCTGATCTTTCATATATCGTGTGTATATACTACAGTCGATGTGTAGGCGTGGAGCTCTCGCATAGACTCAGGTGGGCTGAAAAGTAACTTAGTCGACCATTGTTAAGAAATCGATTCTGACAAACACGTGGCTCAAATGTCTCACTCAATCAACCACCGGTTCAACAATTCTTCGTCAAGAACGGCACCCAAATTGAAATAGAGTCGAAAAAAACTTACGATTTGAGATAAGTGGTTAGATTACAGTTTAGAAATTTACAACAGCAAGTGAAAACAGAAAGTTAATTTGTCACCTGATAAGCTTGAACAGACCGACCATTATGACGACAGTGTTGACCCATCGACAGTCCGGTGACAACTGTTAATTTTAGTAACTGCGTAGGGATATGACATGTGAAATCTTTCCGCTAAAGTAGGTTATCATACGACTGATAACATACTGCAATGAACTAGTTGCACGTCATATTATACAATGTAGTGATAATAGTTTTTTTAAATGGGTTATGTTTCACATTTCAATCCCATGAAACCATTTAACCAAGAACTATATGTTAAAGCAAATTGATATATGTGAGTTGCGAGGCTAGGAGGAGGTGTGTCTGAATACTGGGTTTTCATTGGCTGAACAAAATCCACACGCACCGACTCACGTCTTGTAGTCAGCTGATCGTGTAAACAAAGAAACGGGCAACTTTCCATCGCTAAGCTTTTAACGTTTTGTTTGAGCTTATGCTGGTTCTGAGAAGAAAAAGGTTTCAAATGAGCTGATTATGCCCACATTGTTGAAAATGATGTAACATATGATTATTTTTATTATTTTGGAGAGGATGACGAAATCGCTACCTGAAGTAAATCCCTGATGCCTGCCAGGAGGAAGCGAGAGCCATATATAGCGCTTAGGTTAATTCCATACGCAAAATGGACGTCGCCATTTTATTCATTATTAGGCTGAAACCGATGTACACATGACATGCATCCTCGTTTATCTACCTCTGGACATGTTATACATAATGATTCATATTCTCTAATGTATAAAAAATTCCGCTATTACTCTCAATTACTGTTGAGTCGAATGTCTTATTTTTCTGGAAACTTCGAGGAAACGCTACCAACACGATAACAACTGCGATGAAATGTCAAATTACGCTACACGAATCTAACTTCTATACATTTATAAGAATAAATTTGAATATTTAATGAACCTAACTGTGTCCGTTAATTATCAAACATCGTACCCACATTTAAAACATTCTCTGAGAACTAAGCTAAAACCTATGCATTATTGTGTTATGCTTCACAAGATAAGTAAGTTCTGGTTGTTTCAGTGTACAAAGTTAATGAATCGTTGAAATTAAAAGAGGAGCCGATCGCACATCTACATTAAAAATGAAAACATAAAAGTACCTAGATTCAATTGCTAAAATATTCAATACACATAATGCGTGTATGTTTAAAAAAAATTGAATATAATTATTCCAGAAATATTTAAACATACACGCATCAAAATCAAATACTGACTCGTCTGTTTACGACCTACATTTAATTGTTAAAATATCTAATTCATATTTAAGAAATTTAAACATACACGCATCAAAGTTAAAATACTTACTCGTCTGTTTGCGACTGCGATTCCATTGTATCGGTTTCAGGCATATTGCAGCACTAGCTTCGAACTCAGTGTTCATAGATATGTGTTGTCTCCCGAGATTCATTCAAATTCTGAAGCGGATTCGCCCTCAGCTTGTTTTATACGGTCGACTGGTGCGCGTCATCAGTATGCACATGTTGACGAGAGCGGAATAACATCTATTTTTAGACAATCGGTCAAGCAACGCTTCTGGAACTGTAGCTGGTTGTACTTTGACCGCGGAGGAACCCATCGTTCGCTACCAGTACAGGTGGGGTCTATAAACGAGATAGAGGGTGTTTCGTTCAGGGATAAACACCTACATTGTCAAAGATATTGCGTGCACATTTCACTAGGCTTGTTGACTAGTTTTCGTGGTGTTAGTACTGTTACCTCATAGAGGAAGCTTTGGGTCCATTACACGTATATTAACATAAGTATGTTTATTAGAACATCCGCTATATCATTGCTTGGTTGAATGACGGGGTTGTTTCAAGTTATTTTATGGGAAGAATTGGTGAGTTGGGTGTTATTACATCGGTAACAGATACCACAAACAAGTTGATGTTTTCTTTCGAAAACACCACATGCAGTGCCTAGGTTTACCTATAGTCTGTCTCACGGTTCCCGAAACACAGTTTCCCTTCCCCGAGCTCTTTCTGCAAAGCAAATCTCTAAAAGAAGCAAGTGTAGATATTCATCGGGTTCAGGTTCCGAGTGTCCCAGTTAAATGGGTCACCTTTTCAATTCAAATGGAGGTGGTTGTTTTTATCGAAACAATGTGTATGCAGTTGCCGACTGTCGTACATCTGACGGTTCATGGTAAAACATATAGACAACGCCTAGTCTCTTAATATATATACGTTGCCTTAGTTTTACCTAGACTAACAACTAGTCTCTGAAATGAACATATTTTACTGAAAAAAAGTTTATAGTAAAAAAAAAAAAATATAATGAAAAGGAGCCCTGATACTTTCTTCATTTTCAGAGACCCTGAAGCTGAGGAAATCTAGACTTGCCACATTTTCTAGACTTGCGTGGGCTTTCTTGGATATATTTACTTCAGGTTCTGTTCGACAGACTAAGTTTTATCATGAACCGCCAGATGAACGATTACATTACAGACTGCGGTAACTATCGAACAACGATTTCAGTAACTGTTTTCGCTATACATTCCTATGTTGTTAATGTCATTGTGCCTCACAGGCTGCTTGTCTTCTCCCCAGGGTAAGTAGATGATAATGATTTCCATGGATGCCATGTTTATTTCATTATTTGGCTGTGTGGAATTCCATAAAGAAATGTGTCTCCTGCTCATGTTTACAGTGTTGTTTCTGTTTACTTATGTCCTAAATCATGGACAGTGTGGCAAACTGGAAGCATTTCTCAATCATTTGCCGCGAGTGAGTCAGTGACTTTAGTTTTACGCCGCACTTAGCAATATTCCTCAGCACTCAGCTACATGGCGGCGGTCTGTAAATAATCGAGTCTGGACCACACAATCCAGTGATCAACAGCATGAGCATCGATCTGCGCAAATGGGAACCGATGACATGTGTCAACTAAGCCAGCGATCCCGTTAGTCCCCTCTTACGACAAGCATGGGTTACTGAAGGTACATTCTAACCCGGACCTTCTCGGGTCTTGCCGCGAAATAGAAGACTGTGAAGAAGGTTGTAAATTTGGTGGGATTCTGTAAGTTTGGTTTCGGAATCGTAATTCCCCACTCGATCAACATTCTAAACGGATAATTTTCTACCTGTGAAAATCCGGGTTGGAATTGATCTTCAGCAACCCATATTTGTCGTAAGAGGCGACTAACGTGATCGGGTGGTCTGGCTCGCTATTCCAGTTGCGTAGAACTATTTCAGTTGCAGTTGTCTGGTCCAGATTCGATTATTTACAGGCCACTGCTATATAGCTGGAATATATGTGTGAGGGCGTTAAACAAAAAAACAAACAAAAAAAACAACAACAAATAACCATACACACAAAAACAAGAGGTTTTTTATAGATATTTATTTCATTTGTTTTTGTAGTCAGATCGATTTGAAACATTGTAAACCGAGTCCCGGTTTTGTTTTGGTACCTTCCTTTCGCCAAGGAGATGAATGATGTATCTTGGGATTCAGATAAGTGTAGGTCGCACAGGTGTTGCATTTCCACCACATAACGGTAAATGTATCACTGTATTTGTTAACGCGGGTTTAACTGTGCGGTCGGACAAACGAGGAATGGCTTATGTATGCAATGCTAGCAGTGTATGAATGTGTTGGTGGAGGGCACAGCTGGTTGTAACAGAAGAATATGACACAAAACATTTCACCGTAAACTGGAGTCCCGGATCTAGAAGTTGGAATGGAATATTGAAATTTATGTTGGTTTTTGTCTACAACCGGTTCTTTTCGTTTGTGTACTCGTGAAGATCCGGGTTAGAATTTACCTTCAGTAACCAATGCTTGTCGTAGGAGGCGACTAAGGGGATCGGGTGGTCAGGTTCGCTGACTTGGATGACACATGTCATCGGTTCCCAATTGCGTACATCGATGCTCATGCCGAGAGAGATATTTATACATATCAATTATTTATTCATTTATTTATTTATTTATACATAATTATACCTGTGCATTGAATTGATACGCCTCTTACGTGAGCAAGAGGCCATACACCGATTCCACATATGGTCCCATCATCAGGCTTATCTCCTACTTGACAATATACACATTTAACAAATGCGTCAGGTACACGTGCACTTGGTCAACCTAAACAAGAGGAAATGTTTCCATATTTTATCAAAATCTTCTGTTGAGGTTCGATGGTCATCTTTTACCTTGAAGACTATCCCAGACGTATCACCATCATTATAATGGCATACAGACCGCTGCAATGTCAATAGCAAGTGGCGTTGGTATTCTCATTTTCTCACTGTATTTATTTCTGCCTATGACATATACATTGCCTCAGATACCCGTGTGTGTGTAATTAGGTTATTGATTGTGTGGGTACTGAGCCTTATCGACATGTGGATACGGGCCATCTCACGCAGATCACCAAGCTAATGAAATGTGTGTGTATGCACACTTTAGTGTGTGTATGCACACTTTAGTGTGTGTATGAACACTTGTGTGTGTGTGTATGAACACTTTAGTGTGTGTATGAACACGTTAGTCTGTGTGTCTGAACACATTAGTGTGTGTATGAACACTAGTGTGTGTGTATGAACACTAGTGTGTGTATGAACACATTAGTGTGGGTATGTGTATGAACACTGTAGTGTCTGTGTACGAACACTTTAGTGTGTGTATGACACTTTAGTGTATGTGTAGGAACACTTTTGTGTGTATGAACACTTTTGTGTGTGTGTGTATAAACACTCTAGTGTATGTGTATGAACACTCTAGTGTATGTGTATGAACACTGTAGTGTATGTGTAGGAACACATTGTGTGTATGAACACTGTAGTGTGTGCATGTATATGAACACTGTAGTGTCTGTGTACGAACACTGTAGTGTGTGTATGACACTTTAGTGTATGTGTAGGAACACTTTTGTGTGTATTAACATTTTTGTGTGTGTATGAACACTGTAGTGTGTGTGTATGAACACTGTAGTGAATGTGTATGAACACTGTAGTGTGTGTGTATGAACACTGTAGTGAATGTGTATGAACACTTTTGTGTGTGTGTGTATGAACACTGTAGTGTATGTGTAGGAAGAATGTGTGTGTGTGTGTGTGAACACAGTAGTACATTAGTTTGAACC